CTGGCTTTGGGCTGGGCAAATACTTTTGTGTAACACCTCAAAAGCACAGGCAACAAAGGCAAAAATAGACAATTAGGATTACATCAAGGTAAAATGCTTCTGCACAGCAAAAGAAACAGTCAAGAAAGTAGTGAAGAGACAACCCATTGACTGGGGGGAAATATTTTAAAACTATCCATCTGACAAAGGATTAATAACCAGAATATATAAGGAACTCAACTTAATAGCAAAAAAAAAAAAAAAAAAAATCTGATTTAAAAATAGGCAAAGATCTGAACAGACATTTCTCACAAAAACACACAAATGGCCAACAGGTACATGAAAAAATGCTCAGCATCGTTAATCATCACTAATTCAAATAAAAAACCACAATGCTATATCATTTTACCCCAATTAAAATGGCTTATATCAAAAAGACAGGCAATAACAGATGCTGGCAAAGATGTGGGAAGAAAGAGACCCCTCATACACTATTGGTGGGAATGTAAATTAGTACAGTCACTGTGGAGAACAGTAATGAGGTTCCTCAAAAAACTAAAAATAGAACTACTATATGATCCAGCAATTTCAGTACTGGGTATATATTCAAAAGAAAGGAAATCAATATATCAAAGAGATATCTGCACTCCCATGTTTATTGCAGCCCTATTCACAGTAGCCAAAATACAAGAATCAATGTAGGTGCCAATAAACAGAGGAAAGACAAAGAAAATGTGATACATATACACAATAGAATACTACTCAGCCATAAACAGAATGAAATCCTGTCATTTGCAGCAATGACTAGAACTGGAGGCCATTATGTTAAGTGAAATAAGCCACGCACAAAAAGACAAATCTCACATGTCCTGACTCATATATGGGAGCTAAAAAAGTGAATCTCATAAAGATAGCGAGTAGATTGGTGGTTACTAGAGACCAAGAAAGGAAGAAAGGAGTGAGGGAGAGAAGGGGAAAAAATAGTATAAATGTAGTTATTACCACTGAACTGTGTGTGTGCTTAAACATGGTAAAAAGGTAAATTATATATGTACACTTTACCTCAATAAAAAATAAATTTAAAAGATTTTTCTGGGCCAGAGAAAATATAATTGGAATATATCTTATTCCTCCTATTTCAGCCAACATTTCTATGGAACCAACAATTCTCAAGGCCTGTGTATTGCAGGCATATTTAGATCATGACTTTTAGTACCTGGGGTCTCTTTGTCCAGTGCCTTTACTTTACAGATGTGGAAACTGGGCCCTACAATAGAAAGGGACTTACCTTGGACCACTTGGGTAGTTGGCAGTGTCCTAACTCTAAACCAGGGGTCCTCAAACTTTTTAAACAGGGGGCCAGTTCACTGTCCCTCAGACCATTGGAGGGCTGGACTGTAGTTTAAAAAAAAACTATGAACAGGCCGGGCGTGGTGACTCACGCCTGTAATCCTAGCACTCTGGGAGGCCGAGGCGGGCGGATTGCTCGAGTCAGAGTTCAAAACCAGCCTGAGCGAGACCCCGTCTCTACCTAAATAGAAAGAAATTAATGTGCCAACTAATATATATAGAAAAAATCAGCCGGATATAGTGGCGCATGCCTGTAGTCCCAGCTACTCGGGAGGCTGAGGCAGCAGGATTGCTTGAGCCCAGGAGTTTGAGGTTGCTGTGAGCTAGGCTGACGCCACAGCACTCACCCTAGCCTGGGCAACAGAGTGAGACTCTGTCTCAAAAAAAAAAAAAAAAAAAAAAAAAAACTATGAACAAATCCCTATGCACACTGCACATATCTTATTTTGAAGTAAAAAAACAAATGGGCAAAAACATCCACATGTGGCCCCCGGGCCCTACTTTGATGACGCCTGCTAAACCCACCAGTGTCCCTTCTACAAGCAGACGCTTACACCACCACAAACCCAGTAACTTTGCCCGTGCTCTGCATTGGCTGCAACACAATTTGGTCCACGGAGACTCCATCTGCCAATTCTCCTGTAAGTCACAAACAACTTGTACACCCACAAGCCACTTTGATGCCACCTTTCCCTCCTCAGCTGAGATAAAATGAAACAATCTTCTCAAAGGAAGACAGAGAAACCACCTTCTCCCCTCTGGGAAGTGCTCGGCAGAAACTGAGGTCATTTGGTCCTTGCCACCTCTCCAGACCAGGTTCCAAATCTTGGTTGGACCTGTCGGTTTGCTTGTTGTACATAACAAACCATGTGGTCCCCATCTGTGCCGTTAACAAACTGAAATCTCAACATTTAGCTATTAATCTTGCTTTCAAGGTAACAAAATAATGGCCTATCAACCTGTCATCCTCAAGCCTGCTTCAGTCTTTAATTTCCTTCTAGCAACAGGACAGACTTGCTTTCATTTGCAAATCCCTGCACAGCCTGGTATGCAATAGACAGTGAGCAAGAAACAGTGAGCTTCATGGCTTTAATAGCAGAACGAGGCTTAGCCAGAGGTGGGCTAAATTTCTTCGTGATTTCAGAACCCTGGCTTGCTAGCATTTCTTTAGTCTTTCTACTGAACTGTTCTCCCTGTCCAGGACCCTCCACCTGCTCCTGCAACTCCACACAGTTAACCGTTGCTCTCCCCTCTGCCCTCATCATCAGCCTCTTTATTCTTCTTGCCTCTTCCTCTGCACTTTAGAGCAGCAGCCCAGTCCTAAAAATAGCTCCCCCCTTGATCTTGCTTTCTCTTTCATCTGTGATGCTATTCCTCTTTCCCTTTCACTTCTAGGTGCCTTTGGAATATGAGGGGGAAAAATCACACTTCAGCAAATTTAATAATAAAATAGTAATAACATTAATGACAAAATGACAAATATTTATTGAGCATTTACATTGTGCCAGACACTGAGCTAAAATATCTAGCATGCATGACCTCAGAATCAACAAATCTTTTGTTTCACAAGTGATTTTTGTCTCAAATAATAGCCTGTGGAAACGCAGACTCAGGTTGGTTTCAATACAGCCCACTTTCTAAGATGCCAAAAATCAATTGTGTGACCATACAACTGCTTTCAAACAGCCCTTGACTGTGTGACAGCCACACTCCAGAACAAACCATCTGTCTGTGTGATGCTTGCATTGTAGCCAGAGTGGCAGGAGGGATGACCACTTCTCCCTTCCCATCCTAGGAAACCATGAGACTATCTTAGTTTTTGCCCTTATACCACCAAAACTCAAATTTTATCATCTCTCACCACAACCACCTCACTGCTACTTGAAAATGTGACCTAAATGTGAAGCCATACAATACTACTACCCAACAGCCACAGTACTAAGAGTTAGGAAGAGAAAGAAATACATGAAAAGGTGAGCTCTGAAAAATCTCTCACTTCTACCGACAAAGTTCTTACTGGATTCAACAGCCTGGGATGGGGACTTTTAATAACATCATTATAAGGAAATTCCACTAGAAGATCAAGATAACTCATAGAGTTTGGGATACTATATATTTTGTGCACTTCATTGTCACTTTTTAAAATGGTTAGGTTACTGAATACTTAGCTAGCCATTCTATTAAGATAGCATCTGAACTTGGTCTCCCTGTTGAAATTTTTCTCCCCTATAATCAGTCTTCCTTCTACAAACTATCATAGTAGCATTTTTAATAAAAGTATTTGAACAGAATTAGTAAACAGATATATCATCACTTACCTATTTTGCCCACTGATGTATTCCAAGACTAACACGTGTTCAACCAATGTTTTTAACAAGTTAATTAATCAGCGATCAACAAAAGCATAAAATAGAAACTTATTGCTATCAATTCATATTTTTTATTTATTTTTTTGTTTTGTGTTTTTCCTTTTTTAATGATTTTTCCTAGTGCTGACAAGAATGGAGTAAATTGAGCACCCTCATATTCTTGACAAAAAATAAATTGACAACATAGTTTTCCAAAGAGCACTTTTACTTTTAGGAATTAACCCTATGAAATATGGACCCCAAAAAAATCTTATGCAGAAATTGTTTCCAAAATTTGAAAATATTAAATTTTATCAATAATAGAATGTTGAATAAATGGTTGTGCAATCAGTCAATAAAATCAAAAGTGATTCATTAAATGAAATGATGCATTAAATTCATAAAATCACTATCAAAAGTGATTATTAAATTTATATAACATTTAAATGAAAAAATTCTGCCTTAAATCCTGGTGCTAAAAAAAAAAAAAGAAATCTATATAACATGATAAGTAAAAAAAGTAACCAAAAAATGAACATTGTGATAACACCCATGTAAAACATGCAGAGACTCATGCAGAAAGTGTTAACAAGGGGAAGTTGATTTGATTTCTGGCTCCCTATTGTATAAATGGTGTGCACTTAAGTGAGTTAATCTCTGTGGCTCAACTTCCTCACATTTATTATAATGTGATAATAATGGTAATAATGATAAAATAACTGATTTCATAGGAGTGTTATGAAGAAGTGAGTGCCAGGGCTAAAATAGGATATGCAGTCAATAGATATGATTGATGTAGTGATTATTATGGAGATGATGGAACTATGGTGTTTTGTCTTTGTTTCTCCCTTCCTGTGATATATAATCATGCATACATCATGATGGTGGTTTTTTCATCTTTCCCCCACCCCCATACTCTGCAAGAAATATCCAGATCTGGATCATTTTGGTCCACAGTGCTCTTGCTTTTTCCTCCTTTCTGCTTTAAATGATTGCTTGGTAATGTTCTTATGTTGTCTGGAGTTCATCACTACATTTTATGCATATGTACTGATCCCCAGCCCTATGGTATGGTTATCAGGAAAGAGCATCTTGAGTCCCTCTTCATGGGCCCTTCAGCACACAACCAAATGCACCTCAACAGGTTAATCTGATTTTTAAAATACATTGATTTGGCAATCATACAAATAAAAGCATGTAGAGTATCCAGAATTCAATCAATGTTAGCTCTTTTTCTGTTTCTTCTTTAACCATATTTTGTTTCCATAGTCATATAGTCATACAAGAGCTAAAAAAACAAATCTTGGATTGGCTTTCCTTGGTTTGTGTTTTTATATCCACTTAATTTTACAACTCAGCAGAGCCTGGAGATAGACACCATCCTTGTTTCCAAGATGAATTAATTCTGTATTTATTCCTGCACAGAAAAAAATGTAATAAGGAGGTCAGTGGTGATTAATTTCTAGAGCAAAGAATATACCAGGTGGAAAGCCAGAAGGTAGGTAGTATAAGACTTCTAGGAAAAGAATCTTTTGTAAGGTAAGGTTTCAGTAAAATTCAATTAGAACTATGCTCATAATCCAAAAAGCAAATGGTTCTGCCTAAAGTTTTTTATGCCCACTATTTCCCTGGGGCAGGATCCCTGCAAGCAGATAACTTTAATTGTGCTAGCTCCTTTTGTGTTTTTCACAATTCACAACTAGCCTATCTACAATTATATAAACATGTACATGACGACTGTCTTTGGTTATGGAGTTATTGACAGGAAAATAAAGGCAACTTTAACTTTAAGAGTTGGTTTTAGGACAAATCAGATTAAAGCTTATGTGGACATACAAAGTAATAGACTAATGCTATTGTCTGCTTCCCCTAAATTATTTTATTAGAAGAAACATATTAATTATACTGAAAGCAAACTTGGACTCTGTGGGTTTCTAAAGAAAATTCCTTTGTAGCACACGGCAGGATTTCCCACTATTTTTCTCTTTCTGATGAAATTAACTCCCCATGGTTGGTCAGCAGGATAATCTAATTTTAGCCAATCAGCTTGGGAGCTGCCATTGACCTCACAAAGGGAGAGAAAGGTATCTGCAGTCATAGCAACCACCCGCTCAGCTCTGATCATCTCTGGACCCTTCCGCCTAATGACAGACACCGGCTTGCTTCTTAGATGATTAATCTTTTCCCCTGTGAACCTCCTTGAATACATTAGCCAAACAAGTCTGATAAATTTGTTTATCCCAAGACAATCATTAGAAAATTACCTGCAAAAGTAATTCTCACTAGAGCAGTTTGTGAATGGAAAGCCATATGGCAGATAAAAACAGAAATAAGCAATAAAATCTCTCACTGCATGTCGCAACAGGTTAGGAAAGTTTTTTCCCCTTTAAGCTTTATTATTTTGTACTGAACCACAAAAGCACAGCAGCCTAAAGGCCATTTGACATAAGCAAAAGAACCTTTCTTCTAGTCACTAGTTATTCCTCCAACCAACACTGCACACCTACTACGTGCTGGGCTCTGGGGATCCACCAAGGAACACGAGCTATCGCCGCCTTCCCTGACCTCACAGTCCGGCAGGAGGAGACACATGTGCAAATAAATAATTACAGCACACCATAAGGGCAGTGACAGAGACAAAACAGAGGGCTCTGAGAGAACTGGAAGGGAATGGATAACTGTTTTCCAGAGCTAACTAACACTTCACTATAGCACCATTGAGATTAGGGGAAAAAATGATGAGCAGAACTTTTGCAAGAGCTAGAATGTTCTAGACAAGGAGAACAGCATTGGAAAGCATTGGAAAGGAACAGCATTGGAAAACATCCAGGCAACTGTGATAAACTCCTGGGCAGCAAAATGGCTGCAGCCACTAAATATTGGCCACATCTTTTTCTGGGAAATGAGAGTGGAAATGTGGACTGGGACATGGTCATAGGAAGGCATGAATACATGTTAGGGCCTCAAGAAGACTGAGACAACAGTTATAGAAAGGAAGGGCCAATTCGGAAGTTCTTTTTGAGGTTGAGTCAGGAGCATAAAACTGTTGGCACACCCTTGGTGACACTTCTCACTTGTGGAAAGAATGAGGAGACAACGAACACATGTTGCAGCCGTCCTGCTGGTATGGGCTATTTCGATACACAGTCGCTGGATCCACTACTAAAGGCTTAGCTCAGTGAGTGGGAGACAGGGCTGCATTCTTGTGTGGTTGAGAGATCCAAAATGAGCGAAGGTATTTAAAAGGTGAAAGACTTGTATGAGCTGAAGAGAAACCAGAGTATGAGAGAGAAAGTATTTCAAGTGGCTAATGAGACAACTGTGACTATTGAAGTATGGTCATCATTGTGGGCAGAACCTTATTGACCCTACAGGCTTATATAAACCAGCACTAGGTGAACTTCACCAAAACCAAGGGTTGGGGGCCAGAAGACAGTACCAGCAGTCACGGCAGTCTGAGTCCTCATGGTGATGCTGGGGGTGGTAGGACAATTGGGCCACATCAAAGGTTCTGGGTTCCACTAAGGCCGGCTTCAGAAACACAGACTGGAGTGGAAGATGCCATGTAGCTAGACCCATAATTGATAATGTTATCCAAACCACTTCAGGACCCCTCCCAGAAGATGTGCTCCATGTCCACACCACCCAACATAGAGGATTTCTGCATCTGCATATCTGTCTAAGGATCCCAATCCTGGTCTGTAATTTTCTCATGCCTTCCAAGAAGAGTGCTGCCTATCACAAACGTGCTCCTCAGAAAGGAGCCAATCCCTAAGTTGAGGAGTCTCCAAATTTTCAACATTGAACATGTAGTAGATTTGTAATAAAAACATATTTTTTAAAAGATAGGAATTCCAACATAAATTATCTCAAAAGCTTTGTCTCTATAATAGCAAACAGACAACAAGTTGGACATAATCATCACAAATACTTAACAATATCTGCACTCCATCAGGTCCCATGCCAATCTCTCTGAAAATTGGAGTCATTCAACCCCATGGGCAAGGGGTGCTATTGCTTTCTCCATTTTACTGATGAGGAAACAGCATCAGAAATGTATATCTTTTTTTTTTTTTTTTTTTAGAGACAGGGTCTGGCTCTGTTGCCCAGGCTGGAGTGCAGTGGTGTGATCATGGCTCACTGCCACCTCAAACTCCGGGACTCAAGCAATGCTCCTGCCTTAGCATCACAAGTAGTCAGGACTATAGGCGCTGTGTCACCACATCTAGCTAATTTTTCTTATTTCTTGTAGACATGGGGTCTCACTTTATTGTCCAGGCTAGTCTCGAACTCCTGGGTTCAAGTGATCCTCCTGCCTCAGCCTCCCAAAGTGCTGGGATTACAGGCATAAGCCACCAATCCCAGCCCAAAATGTACATCTTTAAGAAACATATAAATATGTAATTGCATCTTCAGATAGCCTCTCCTTTAAAAAAAAAAGAAGGAAGGAAGGAAGGAAGGAAGGAAGGAAGGAAGGAAGGAAGGAAGGAAGGAAGGAAGGGGCCAAGAGGAGAGAGAAAAAGAAAAAACTTGTCAAGATTCAAGATTTTAAAGAGAATATTTCCTATAAACTACATTACTACCAACGATATAAAAACAAAAATGCCATCTAATCATTATACCTTGAGACCTGCACAGAAGGCTCTGGAATAGATGGAAAAGCAAGTGATATGGTAGGGAGGCAGGCACATAGACAGCTAAGTATAAGAAGGTGAGATCTGTGCTGTAAGAGTGGGCTGTACAAAGAGGTACAAGGAGCTCAGAGGAGGCAGAGATCAGTCTGTGTGCACCCTGTCTGAGCAAGCGACAGCTCCACTTCACTGAGTTCCAGCCTTGATGCTTGAGGCTTGATAAACAGTACTTCATTTACACTGCATGATAATCTCAAGGGGTCCTATTTTTCTATGACTTTTTATAAATGAGGAAAATGGAGATCAGCGATTAGAGAGCTTATCCAACATCACATAATTATTAAATGATAAATCTAGGATTTGAACCCAGGTCTGCATAATTCCAAAGTTTGGGTACTTTTCACTACATTGTGAAGTCACAAAAATACATTTCAAGCCCATTTCACAAGTTTGGGTTAAGATTAGACAATCAACCTGTATTCAGAAATGAATTCCCACATTCACACAGTGAAGGGTCCTTCCCTAAATTGCCCCGTCTTCCTTATTTTTTCTTCACATAAGTGGACCAGGAGGCAGCATTTTCCAAAGAGCCAGAGCACAGAATGCTGCCTTGTGAAAGAACCAGTGTTTCAATTCCAAAGGACACAAGTTATAAGTTTAATATTTTTTCATCTCTGCAGACCCTGGAGATTTGCTGGGTACACTCTCTCCCCCTCTCTCATGCTGCAAGTCCATATTCTACCTTTCTACAAATGAGCTTCCATCAATAATAATAGGTTATCTGTCTTTCCCCTCTGAAAACCACATTCGAACTATTGACCTTAGTCTTACCTCTGTAAAGGTAATACAATGTGTTTAAAACTCAAGGGGATGAGAGGTTGTGTGACCATAAGGCCCTGCTTGAGAATAAGAAGCCCTTATCATTTAACCCAGGACTGCCCACAAACTTGGAGGAGCATAAGGCAAAAAAAGTAAACGTCCCATTAAAAATGATCTTTTCAATTCACTTTCTCGAATTAGCCAGAGGGAAGTAACCTTTAGGACAAATCTATCTAGACAAAACTTCTAAGTTTCTTAGTGGCAAATGTGCATCCCTATCTTTTTGTTCATCCAGAATTGTCCACAGGTAAAATTACACAAGGGCACAAGACATCGCATGAGAATATAGATATTTCAAGGAAGCAGAGCCAGTGGAGGAGGGCATTTTCATGCCAGGGCCAGGGCCTTCTGGATGAAACAAAGGATCTAACCATGGTTGGGAATACCTGGACAGAGTTAGGTATTCTCTTGTCCTAAGGGCTGATAGCCTTTGGCAAGCATGCTGAGGTCCAGAAAGGACCACAATATCTAGGAGTGAACTAGAAAGAAAACCAGGGGCAGGATTAGTGTTTCTAAGTGTCTCTTGTTCTCCCAGCCTCTAGGATTTCACCTAAATCATGTTACATACCATTGACAGAAGAATTGTTTCACTCTCTGCTCAAGAATCTACCATAGCTCCCTGTTGCCTCCTTTTACTGTGGTGTTCACACACCCTGGTTTGCCCAGATAGAATAGCTATACATTATCCTTGTGTAATTACTAATGGAATTTCCTATTGCCCTCAACAGTGTTCCATTTGACTAATTAATGATGTGGTCACCATATCTTCTACCTACTTCAAACTCCTATGCCCAATTTGCCATTGTCTTTTATACTCAGGAGTTCTCAGATCATTTTGTGTTCATTTAAAGGGATTAAATTGAATATACCACTATGATTTGGTTGCCCCTACAACCTGAGTAAAACTGTTTATTGCCCTAATTATGCTGAGTCATGGTTCTTAAACATTTTAGTAAGTTACATGTTTAGTAAGTTCCATATTCCAGTAAGCACAAACTCGTTTTTGGAGCTGTGATGTTAAGCAGAGGTGTGATGGAATCATGACTTTGCCACTAACAAGCTGTGTGGCCATGAGCAAACATTATAATAATATGTCCTCTTCTCAAATCTCAGTCTCCTACTATGTAAACATAAGGCTAATCATAGACCCTCCCTCAGAGAGTTAGCCATAAGCTGTAGGCAAGAAGCTCAGGTGAAGTGCTTAATGCAGGTGTGCCGGCTAATGGTAGGGTCGTCGGCACCACCCTCCCCCCCACAGCCCCCGCACACTCTGCATAGTGCTGTCTGGCAGACAGCTCCACACACAGGGTGTCCTCACTTGTAGCAATGATACACTCTATGCACTGATCACAATTTGGAGGCACATCTAGGGAATGGTTGTGTCTTAGGTAGAGCTCCCTAGATGCAAAGCCTGAGGTAGGGGCTCTTTTCAAGTGATTTATTGGGAGAGAGAGCGAGAGGGATGCAGGATAGAGCATGTAGGGAGAGGAAGAGATGCTAAGGAAGAGCTTATCTCAGCTTCAGATGAACTTCAATCCAAGCCCCCGGAGAAGCTCTGGAGCACAGAGTATATCACAGTGTTAGACCCCGCTTGAGCAAGGAGTCTCAGTTAGTTTGTGAGATCCATGTGGACCTTTTATGTCCCACTATGCCACACAAACTCATTAAGACTTTGGAGGCTTGTGCATTTAGTATGTGTAAGTCATTGAATCTCTGTAAACCTCCATTCCTTCATCTCCAAAATTGCAGTGATGGTACTTATATTGTAGACTGTTGTAAGGATTTAGAAATAACACATTCCTAATCCTAACAGTAAATGGGCATATCTTTTTCCCCCATCAGCCAGATTTCTCTGAGTACATTATGCATAGTATGTAGGTTCTTACTTATATATCTTTGCCCATGATCTCTCTTTTCCCAACCCCCCCCCCAAAAAATGGTACCTGAGCACATGCACGAAAGGCAAACAAACAAACACATGTGCACATTCACACACACACTTCCCCTCAACCTGCACCAACCTTAAAATAACCTCTCATGTATCCTCTACTTTAAGCTTCCCATTTCCAAACCCTGGTCCAAGTCTTACCTCCTCCTTCATCCTCTTCAACTTCTTCAAACTCATGCTGATCTTGCCCTTCTTTAAAATCCTTTTTCACTTAATTCCATTTAGATTAACATTTAATCAATTTCTAATTATTTAGTTAGTATTTGTTTGGCCTCTTCCAAGCAGATTTTAGATTTCTACTCTTCTATCCCCATCCCAAAGTAGGACTCAGACAAGGCCTAGGCATCTAGTAGAGGCTCAATACATTCTTTTGGTTTATTTAAGAAATATTTCTTGATCAGAAAGACAATGAAATACCTTGGTTGACCATTTTAATTCTCAGGATTCTCAAAGCTGGCAAAATCCTTCCATGTGATCCAGAGGTGCTCGGCTGACAACCTGGACCAATAATGCATGTAAAATGAATGCTAATGGCTTCCCCTGTAATTTAGCTTACAGATGAATTTTAGGTGAGATTTTTCTATTGGGTTCTAACAGTTTCTGAAAATTGGTGCCATAGGAGGTGCAAAGTGGAATGCCCAACACAGCTCTGATTATGAACTGCAGTCTATGCATGCATTACAATAACAACGGCAGGGCTAGGCTGCCTTCAGCATCCTGAAATCTCTTATTAAATCAAACCTTAAGTATTTAACAAATACTGTGTGTTCTAATTTATGCACTTGGTATGTTTCTGGAAAGTTGATGTAAATTGACATTTTGTGGGACAGGGAATCAAGTTATATTTAAAATTCCCTTGGAACATTTTTTATGTGATGGTATTAATGCTATTGAAAATTTTCCTGTAAATAATTACCCATTCATTTATTTAGTTACTTCCTTTTTTTTTTTTTTTTTTTTTTTTTGTTGAGACAGAGTCTAGCTTTGTTGCCCAGGCTAGACTGAGTGCTGTGGCAGCAGCCTAGCTCACAGCAACCTCAAACTCCTGGGCTTAAGCAATCCTGCTGCCTCAACCTCCAGAGTAGCTGGGACTACAGGCATGCACCACCATGCCCGGCTAATTTTTTCTCTATATATTAGTTGGCCAATTAATTTCTTTCTATTTATAGTAGAGACAGGTTTCGCTCTTGCTCAGGCTAGTTTCAAACTCCTGACCTCAAGCAATCCGCCCACCTCGGCCTCCCAGAGTTCTAGGATTACAGGCATGAGCCACTGCGCCCGGCCTAGTTAGTTCTAATGTAGAGTTTTTGGTCTTTTCAAATCAGGATATACTGGTATTTTTCTCTCAGGCTTTTAGAAAAATGTATAAAATTTAAAAGTTACCATGATTCAATATCACTTTTATTATTTTCCCCAAAATCAAAATAAGTTATTTTACCTATTTTAAAATACCATCTACTTTTATATCATAATTCCCATTTTACGGATAAGAAAATGAAAATTTAGAGAAGTTAAATACCCAGGGTTACACAACATATTAGTTTGCTAAGGTTGTCACAACAAAGTACCAAAGCCTGGGTTGCTTAAACATCGAAAGTGCGTTAAGCACTTTACTAGAGCCTCTTGCCTAAAGCTTATGACTAACTCTCTGAGTTAGAGTCTATGATTGGCCTTATATTTACGTAGTAGGAAACTGAGAATTGAGAGAGGCCATATTATTTGGCCTCTCATGGCCACCGAGCTTGTAAATTGCAAAGTTAGGATTATTTTCTGATAATTCTAGAGGTTAGAAGTCCGATTCAAGGTGTCAACTGAACTGATTTCTTCCGAGACCTCTCTCCTTGGCTTTAGATGGGTGCCAGCTACCAACTGAATGTTTGTGTTCTCCCAAAAGTCATATGTTGAAGCACTAATCCTCGACGCGATGGTATTTGGAGGTTGGACTTTTGGAAGGTGATTAGATTTAGATGAAATCATGAGGATAGAAGCCCCATGATGAAATCAATGCTCTTATAAAAAGAGGAAAATATTTTCTTTCTCTCTCTCCCTATCTCTCTCTCTCTGTCTTTTTTCACATACCAAGGAAAGATCACATGGAGATATAATCAGGAAGACAAACGTCACCAAGAACCAAACCATGCTGTCACCCTGATCCCAGACTCCCAGCTTCCAGCCCAAAAAAGGGCTGTTGAACTGTGTGAACCTGAACACAACCCCCGCAAATGTTTTAAACTCTTTAAAAATTGGGGGCTTCTCAAAGCCAAAACATATTTTGTCAGTATCTGTTTTGTCATATTTTTCCCTGAGTATTTCAATTCTATGGCTAAAGCAATGTTGCTGAGCATGCAGTTGGGAAGGGACGTACCCAATCAGCTCTCCCAGCTTCAAACCAGTGACCTACTCAGAACATCAGCAGTACCCAGGGTTCACACATAGGTTATGACTCCCTTTTCTTTGTACGTGTGTAATTGTACTTGAATAAAAATTAGGATCAGGCCGGGCGCGGTGGCTCACGCCTGTAATCCTAGCTCTCTGGGAGGCTGAGGCGGGCGGATTGCTCAAGGTCAGGAGTTCAAAACCAGCCTGAGCAAGAGCGAGACCCCGTCTCTACTATAAATAGAAAGAAATTAATTGGCCAACTGATGTATATAGAAAAAATTAGCCGGGCATGGTGGCGCATGCCTGTAGTCCCAGCTACTCGGGAGGCTGAGGCAGAAGGATCGTTCGAGCCCAGGAGTTTGAGGTTGCTGTGAGCTAGGCTGACGCCATGGCACTCACTCTAGCCTGGGCAACAAAGCGAAACTCTGTCTCAAAAAAAAAAAAAAATTAGGATCAAATACTTTAGTATCTGACCATACAGAAATGCAATCACGAACATAGTAGATGAATATTTACTGACATGGGAAGATATTCCATAAGATATTTTTTTATGGGAGGAAGATGCCAAAACAATATAGCATAAGCACTTTATTGAAAAATATAAATACCTAACCAAATTTACAGCCAAGACAGCTCAGAGTGAAACTGCAGGATATCAGAAAAATATACATCAAATATTGCAAGCAATCGGAGAAAATAGACATATTATTTACAAAAGAATATATTTTTTGCTCTTCATTAGCACCAAAGGATACTAGCATAAAATATTATCTTCAAAGTCTTTAACAGAAAATAGTTATCAACCTGAAATTCTATAACCAACTAAACACGAAAGATAAATATTCACAAATCATCACTAAAAGAAAAGCTAAAGAAGTCCATAAGAAATACTAAAAAAAAGAAATTAATACAAATAGAAGAAGTAGGATGCAAAAAGTAAAATTAAAGTAGATAAATTGGCATTAAATTTTCAAAAGTAACTACTAAACATCTAGAAATAGCATAAAAAAACTTAAACTCAGTTAATAAAAATTAAGAAAATGTAATCAATCTAAAGGAAAGCAAGAAATATATAAAATGCATAGTAAATATCCATGCAAGGCTCAGGGCAAAAAAAAAAGCATAGTAAATAGATAAGCAAAATAACAGAAATATATTTAAATAAATCTGTAATCACAGATTAAATTAAATTACTCAGTTAAAATGCAGAGATTGTTAAGAAAAAAACCCAACAATGCACTACTTAGAGGAGGCACATGTAAAACAAATTAGCATTAGGAAGGATTTTAAAATACATCTTGGTTCAATATGCTTTGCCAAATGCTGACATTCTAAGTAGTCACTCATAAAACTTGATCTTATCAGGGTTGCCCTTAATGCCATACATAGAGTACTCTGGCATATGTGTACATCTGTATGTATATATGCATACATATGTATGTATGTAGATGCTCTCAACTTATGATGAAGTTACATCCAGACAAACCCATCGTAATGCCAAAAAATCTTAAGTGGAGCCATGGTAAGTTGTAGACCTTATATACATGTACCCATGTATATGATGTGTGTGGTGGGACTGGGATTTCCAGCCATATCTCTTTAGTACCAGAGATTTTTGCCTTATATAAAACAATCTCCTTTGGATAAATACCCAGTAGTAGATCGCTGGATCAAATGGTAGGCTTACTTTTAGTTCTTTGAGGAATCTCCATACTGTTTTCTTTTTCTTTTCTTTTTTTGAGACAGGGTCTCACTTTGTTGCCCATGCTAAAGTGAGTGCCGTGGCGTCAGCCTACTCACAGCAACCTCAAACTCCTGGGCTCAAGCAATCCTCCTGCCTCAGCCTCCCAGGTAGCTGGGACTACAGGTGCGTGCCACCATGCCCAGTTAATTTTTTCTATATATATATTAGTTGGCCAATTAATTTCTTTCTATTTATAGTAGAGACGGGGTCTCGCTCTTGCTCAGGCTGGTTTTGAACTCCTGACCTCAAACAATCCGCCCGCCTCGGCCTCCCAGAGTGCTAGGATTACAGGCATGAGCCACCTCACCCAGCCTCCATACTGTTTCTAATACAGGTTGTACTAATTTACACTCCTACCAACAGTGTATATGCTTTCCTTTCTCTCTGAATCCACACCAGTATCTATTGCTTTTGGATTTTTTAATAAGTGCCATTCTAACTGGGTTAAAAGACACCTACACTCAAATGTTTATTGCAGCCTAATTCACATTTGCAAAGATGTGGAATCAACCCAAGTGCCCATCAATTCATGAGTGGATTAACAAAATGTGGTATATGTATACTATGGAATACTAGTCAGCCATGAAGAAGGAAGAATTAAGGCCTTTTGCAACAATTTGGATGGAACTAGAGACTATTATTCTAAGTGAAGTATCAAAAGAATACTTTATGTATTCAAGAACTCCACCCGTACTTGCTATAAAAAATGCAACTAACTAATGAGCACACATGCACAGAGGGAAGTAAAACTCAGTGGAAATTAAGCAGGGGGAAGTGGGGAGGAAGGGATGGGCAAAAACCTACCTAACCAGTACAATGAGCACTGTCTGTGTGATGGGCATACTTATAACCCTGACTCAAGCATAACAAAATCAATACATGTAACCAAAAACACCTGTACCTCTGCAATATTTTGAAAAAATAAATCTTTAGGCCATGTTCTTAAATATCTTAGTCTGAACCTCTCCTTCAAGTAAAAAACAAACTAAACACATTATGGTCTTACATACATACTCATTAAAAAATATAGCCAATGGCCACAGAATGTTACCATAGAAAAGACTTTAGTGATCCTCTAAAGAAATTCTTTTTTTTTTTTTTTTTTTTTGAGACAGAGTCTCACTCTGTTGCCCAGGCTAAGGTGCCGTGGAGTCAGTCTAGCTCACAGCAACCTCAAACTCCTGGGCTCAAGCAATCCTCCTGCCTCAGCCTCCCAAGTAGCTGGGACTACAGGTGCGTGCCACCATGCCCAGTTAATTTTTTCTATATATTTTTAGTTGTCCAGCTAATTTTCTTTCTATTTTTAGTAGAGACGAGATCTCTCTCTTGTACAGGCTGGTCTCAAACTCCTGACCTCAAGCAATCCTCCCACCTCAGCCTCACAGAGTGCTAGGATTATAGACGTGAGCCACCACACCCAGCCTGAAGAAGTTCTTTTGAAAATCACATATCCCTTGCAGAACCTAAACAAATTTGTAGACCCAAGAAAAAAATAAGACCCATAACAGAATTATGCATACTATTTATGGGGAATTACAGGCCCGTTCCCACACCAAAAGCCAATCCTTGAACCACATTAACAACTGCAGTTGGACCCCAGTTTACAAACCAACAGTGACAAGATAAACACAAAAGCGTTTCGAGAAAAAAGATTTTAAGCCTACCCAAGGCTGCCTCTCCCGGTTGTACCAGAACACAAAATAGAGCCAAGGGGCCTGCCTGTCTCCACCCTCATGTAGTGTTCTGTCTGCCACTCTCGTCATACATTCTCTCTCACTGTTGGTGTCATCCTCTGCCATCACAAAAAGTGCTTTCATCATAAATGGAGGGGCTTGACAAAAATGCCAAAAAGCTCCCTCTAGTCCTTCTATCCTCAGAGCTAAGATGAAAATCTTAGGCTAAATGATCAGTTAACTGGTAGCTCAATGAATGCAGAAAGTTCACATGGCCCAAATTATGGTGAAAGAATCATCAGAATGTGTGTTAAGTTTAGAGGTCTTGAAGATACATGCCATGTTTTAAATATGAGGCACTGGCATAAAGACAAAACTTGGAGCAATTGGGGTATGGCAGGTGGTCTCTTAAATTATAATCCTATCTAATAAGGAACTCCCCAGGTGTTGAAAAGTTATCTGTCTCTTAAAAGTACTTGGAGCTATCAGAGAAATTTACTTTATGGTTATAAATAATTATCAATAATAGCACATAGATTTTTAAATGAGTAAAAATGGAAATTATCTTCCACCAACTCATGCAAGGCTTGTCATTGTACCTTCCTCCAAGATTTTTTTTAAAAAGGGCCTAAGTGACTAGAAAGATAGAAACAGAAAAGTCTCCTTTGATTTCAGAAAATGCATTACATTTTTAACCCTATTCAAAAACTAAACTTGCTATACTTTGCTTTCATGATCACTAAGAAACGTTGTTCTTTGATAAAAGTGGATCTTATGGAGATGGAATAGAATGATGGTTTATCAGAGGCTGGGAAGGGTAGCAGGGAGGGGGAAAAAGGGGGGATGGCTAATGGGTGCAAAAATATAGTTAGATAGTTAGATAAAATGAACAATATTTGATAGTACAACAAAAGTGACTCGAACTTTTCATGAGAGCTGAGGTAAGCAGGAAAATAATTTTATGTTTTAGCTATTAAAACTCTCCATCATCCTATGGAATGTGTTAAAGATGGGAGAGTAAATTAACATTTTTGTTCTCCCATAAATTTGAAGGATGCTGTTTTGAGCCACAGCCTATTGACTCATCATCACTGACATCTGGTTCTAAAAGCCTATTTCATTGTCCAAAATCATTATATTTGGGAACCCTATAACTAACTGCAGCCACAGATAAATTCAGGCTCTCAGATTACAATACCAACTGAATTTCTGACCTTTCCTCAATGGATGAGTGACCCCAAAGTGCATTTTATTGATTCAAATAGTTTGCTTGATATGACTTGTGAAAGAGTAGAAATAGGAAGTTAACTCTTCCCCAGCAGATTATAAACCCTATGGCAGCCTTATCCCTCCTCATGCATGTCCCTTGCGCCTGGCATGAAATTGAGAAAATATTTTATTTATTTTTATTTTTTGAGACAGAGTTCCACTTTGTTGCCCAGGCCTAGAGGAGTGCCATGGTGGTCGCCAAGGCTCACAGCAACCTCAAACTCCTGGCTCAAGCGATCCTCCTGCCTCAGCCTCCTGAGTAGCTGGACTACAGGCATGCCCACCATGCCAGCGCTAATTTTTTCTATATATTATAGTGGCATTAATTTCATTTCTATATTGTTATAGTAGAGACGCGGGTCTCGCTCTGCTCCAGGCTGGTTTCGAGCTTCCCGACTCAAACAACGCACCACATCAGCCTCCCAGAGGGCTAAATTACAGGCGTGAGCACCACGCCGGCCAGAAAATATTTATTGAATTAATAAATGAAAGTATAAATTTTCGTTGTACACTATGCTTTTTATTCAAAGCATTTAGGCTATGGCATCTGGAGGAATTAATTTACAGCTCTTTAAAAAAAAAAAAGCCCACACTTATAACCAGCTGATTTTCAACAAAGATGCCCAACACAATTGGAAAAGATATCTCCCCTTTATAAATGATGCTGGGAAAATTAGATATCTATGTGCAAAAGAATGAGACTGGACTCCTTTCTCTCACCATATTAAAAAATCAACTAAAAATGGATTAAAGGCTTAAATGTATAAAACCTGAAACTATGAAACTCCTAGAAGAAAACATAGGTCAAATACTTCACAAGGCTAGGCAAGAATTTTTAAATAAGACCTAAAAAGCACAGGTAACCATGGCAAAAATAGACAAAGGTGATTACATCAAACTAAAAAGCTTTTGCACAGAAAAGGAAATAATTAACAAAGAGATAATCTACAGAATGGGAGAAAATATTTGCAAACTAGACATCTGACAAGGGGTTAACATCCAGAATATGTAAGGAACTTAAACAACCGAACAGCAATAAACAACCTGATTTTAAATGAGCAAAAAACCTTAATAAATATTTCTCAAAAGAAGACATACAAATGTCCAAACAAGTCTATGAAATATGCTCAACATCACTAATCATCAGGGAAATGCAAATCAAAACCACCTCACTCCAGTTAGAATGGCTGTTATCAAAAAGATAAAAGAAAGCAAGTGGCGCTGAGGATGTGGAGAAAAAGGAACACTTACACACTGTTGGTGTTAATGTAAATTAGTACAGCCATTATGGAATACAGTATGAGGTTTCCTCAAAAAATTAAAAATAGAACTCTCCTATGATCTAGTAATTTCCAACACTGGATATATATCCAAAAGAAATGAAATCAGTATATCAAAGAGATACCTGCAATTCCATGTTTGTTGCAGCACTATTCACAATACCCAAGATATGGAATCAACCTAAGTGTCCATTAACAGATCAATGAATAAACAAACAAACAAAAAAAGGTAAAAGGTATATATACACAGTAGAATACTCTTCAGCCATAACAAAGAATGAAATTCTGTCGTTTTTGACAGCATAGATGAACCTGTAAGGTATCATGTTAAATGAAATAAGCCAGATGCAGAAATACAAATATGGCATGATCTCACTCATGTGTGGAATCTTCTAAAAAGTTGACACAAAAGAGAGTAAAACAGTGCTTACTAGAAACTGGGGAGAAGGAAAGTGAAGGGAGGATGGGAAGAGGTTGGTCAGTGGTTTAAAAGTTACAATTTGGTAGGAAGAATAAGTTCTGCTGTTCTACTGCACAGCAGGGTGGCTATGGTTAACAGTAAGGTGTTGTATATTACAAAATAGCTTGAAAAGAGGCTTTTGACCCTTCCCACCAAAGAAATGATAAATACATGAGGTGATGGATATGCTAACTACCCTGATTTGATCATTATACAACAAATACAAGTATCAAAACATTAAATCATACACCATAAATAACAGCTATAACTTGTTAAATTAATTAAATAATAAAGGTAGTCCATAAATAAGAGGAAAGAGAAAAATAGCAAAAAATGGAGTTGTTCAAAGCACATCAAAATATAATCCTAATTCAATGTATAGTGAATGTCTACTTAATAAAATTATTGAGGCCGGGCACAGTGGCTCATGCCTGTAATCCTAGCATTCTGGGAGGCCGAGGCGGGCGGATTGCTCAAGATCAGGAGTTCGAAACCAGGCTGAGCAAGAGTGAGACCCCGTCTCTACTATAAATAGAAAGAAATTAATTGCCCAACTAATATATATAGAAAAAATTAGCCGGGCATGGTGGGACATGCCTGTAGTCCCAGCTACTCAGGAGGCTGAGGCAGAAGGATTGCTTGAGCCCAGGAGTTTGAGGTTGCTGTGAGCTAGGCTAACGCCACGGCACTCACTCTAGCCTGGGCAACAAAACAAGAGTCTGTCTCAAAAGAAAAAAAAAAGCAATATAAAATTATTGAGCTTCTGCCTGATAACGTTTGACTTTAAAATGTGCACACAAGAGTTCTTAAAATTACTGGGGCCAGTATCTACCTAATGAAGCCCTGACAAGACCTAGAAATTGACTGATCTAGAAACACAAAGCAAATCTGACTCAGGGAAAGATCATGCCCATTAGCCGCCTCTATTTCCCTTCTTGCCCAACAGCACCCTTCCATTTTTTCAGACCCTTTGCCAAGTCCTGCTACTGTCCCCTGTCATTCGTTATTATACCCATAGTTTCACACCTTGCTTGGTATTTGGTCTCTTTATTTCTTTTTTCACTCCATCTATAACTTTTTGATCCCCACATCTAGTTTGGTTTCTTTTTTCTATTCTTGGGATCTTAAGCACAAGACATTCTGGGAGATCTCTCTTCTCAATGTTCTATCTACAAAGCCAACAGCAAGTTTTAAATGACTGTAAGACCACATAGAAATTTTCTCATCAACTACATGTAAACATGCACACATGGGTATAGGTGTGAGCATATATGCCAATACACACACATACAGAAACACACACATGCACATTCACATAACCAGATAATGGAAGCTGACGTGTAGGTTGCAAGTTTCATTATAAACCATTTTCCCAGTATCAAATGTCTACAAATCTTAAATTACCATTTTTTTCATGGCATAGCATTGTCATTATTATTCATGTTGTTGACCTTAAGATATTGCAAGATTTTAATGTACTTTCTGATATAGCAAAGATTTAATCGTTCATGAACAGTTTTAGCAGCCAGCGGATTTGAACCAAGTAAAAGTTGGCAATTCCTATTTGAAGGATGCGAACACCTGGCTCATTTCATCTGGGCCCTGGCTTGGTGATCTGACATTGGTTCCTGATATCTAACATTTCTCTCTTCAGTGACACTTGAATAGGATCTTTAACCCATGTCTAAAATAGAGTGTATTACAAAAAGATGAAAATAACCCTTGGAAAGTTAACTTAAGTTCACTTGTCTATCTGTGCGTCTACTTTCCATGCATCCCTCTATTATTATACATAAAGGTCTAGCACTGTCTGGCACATAGTAAATGTCACATTTAAGTGTTCAGTATTATAATGTGGAAAGGGTAGCGTGTGCAAGACTTACGCCGTTCTTTGGATAACGTGGCTTTTGCCAACATCTGGGTTTTCTCCTGTCATCTGGCCCTGTGTTATCCTGCATTGTCTCCTTTATTATTTCCATGTTCCTTCTCTGCCCTAATCTTATCTTCTGCAGCCACACTGACATGCTTACTGGAAAATCAAGA